CCCCAAAACCCCAAAACCCCAAAACCCCAAAACCCCAATAAATAATTAAAGTATTGAAAGAATTTAGATAATGTAAACAAGAGCTTAATCAAAGCTGTTGTCTCTTTTCTAAATTAATAGGCATTTCTTTTTCTCTCGCAAATTTATAGGAACATCAGGTGGTTGAGCTGCTGCAAAAATTATATGCGTGTCATCTGGAGATATTTTTGGGGATGCGTTCTTAGGAGTTGGTTTATCAACTTCAATGGAATCAAAGTTCTCTTCAAGAGTATCTGAGACTTTGACCACTCCAAAGCTCATCTTCCTGCTACCAATTTTACTATCGGCCTCATTAGCTAGGCTATTATGCTTATTGCTCTTATACGCATCTTCTTCTAATTCAGGAGTTTTAGAACTTTTCCTGTCGATTGAGATAGAGTTGATTGCTCGAACACTTTCTTCGAAGATGTTTTGTCTTCCTTTATAATTAATCTTATTGTTTCGTTGTTCAGGGATAATAAAGGTTGTCTCCCTCTTCCTCTCCAGAGGAGCAATATGCACCTCAGGAGAAACTTCTTTGTTACGAGTTTTCAGTGAGCTTTGTGCAGTTTGGATAAATATTTCCTTTTCTAAGCGATTGAGCTTTGAAGTCATATTGTTTGCTTTGGGAGTTTCAAGTAGATCGTCCCCGTCCATTATTTTAATTTCTTCCCTTAGATCATCATTGTTCAGACCTTGAGCAAGATTTATTTGGAAAGCAGTGGCTGAAGCGAGAGGATTATCTGAGATTTGTGATTGCTCCCTCTGCAAGTTAGATTTCAGATTATTTTTGCTAGTACTGAAGTAAGGAGACCCAGGCCGACTATTCTCTCCTTCTTTGCTCTCTTTAATGCTCAAAAAGTTGTCTATATTTCTATTTTGTCCTTTCCTCTTTAGGAGGCTTGAAATCTGCAAGTTTGTGCTTTCGTTTCTTCTCTGGCCTGAACGTCTATTCTTTCTATCCTTTAGCTGCGGACAAATTTTTAGATTTAGTTTTAGCTTATTCGAATTAATTTCCATTGAATCTGTAGTATGGATCTCCTTCATTCGTACACTATTATCAGAAATATTGCTCATATTCATTTTGGTTGTGGGGGCAACATCATTTAGAGAACTGTCTGTATTGACATTTTCCCGGGTAGTTCGTTTATTTTCCCTGTAATTAAGCGACTGTTTGGTCTCTTCTCGAGTGCCTCCATAGGTATCAAAGAATCTATCAGTGGGTGGTGCTTCAACATTACCATACTCAGCGATTAGGTCTTCATTAACTTTGCTACATAAGGCGACTTTCTCACTCTCGTTTACCTTCCTTCACCTCTGAGGTTGGTCACAATAGTTAAGATTAGCAATGGTTGCTGAAGAAGCATTCCTGATGTTATAAACAGGGATTTTGATAACCTGTTGTTTCACCATGTTCTCAGATTTGGTCTATAATATTTACCTCAATGTGGCATACCTCCTTCGCTTTGTAGTACTCATAAGTCGTCTTATTGTTCATAATGAGATAAATGTGGAATCAGAGCAGGGGAAAAATGAATCAGAGGACTGGAATACTTAGGATTATGTACAGGATTGCATACGGAGAGAACACAAAGTTCTGTCTGTAGTCTATTTTAGAACTCGAGTTCTCACAGAATAAGAGTAATGTATTTAGGAGAATAGTTAAAATGAATACCAGATTTAGAGAGGTTAGGAATGTGCAGAAGTAAGCGTAGTTACCTTCCCCAATACATCAGCTAAGCCATAAGCAGTGGTGATCTAAGGTCTTCACTCAGTACCCTCATTTGTAACAATGTGCTGTTCTAGGAGGTCTTATGATCCTACAAACTCTTCATCCTTTGAGAAAAGTTATCTTACCATCGATATAAAATCGATATTTAATATTTCTTTGAAATGGGTCCTTAGATATAATGGAGTCTCTGGCTCCTTTAGACATTTTTGAATGCAACTGGATTTTACTAAAAATTCTCATCCTTCTAGTCCATGGTAGAGTGAGGTATAGGAATCATCATCAGATTATATGGGTAAAGAGGAGTGCTACTTTCAATGAATCAATTGCTAATCGATATGAATTACTTATTTCTCCCCTTGTTATAAAATAATGGTACAGGTTTAGGAAATGGAGGACTATCACTGGGAGTATCACTATTAGCACGGTGAATATTAGCCCATATTTCTTATTATTTGAGGCATAGTTCTTGTCTCACATTGGTTATGTTTTTAAAATATTTTCAATTTAATTAAAAATTTTGGGGTTTTGGGGTTTTGGGGTTTTGGGGTTTTGGGG